CAGTTGTTTTGCATTTGCTGAGGAGTGCTTTACTTCCAATTATGTGGTCAATTTTAGAGTAGGTGTGATGTGGTGCTGAGAAGAATGTATATTCTGTGGATTTGGGGTGCAGAGTTCTGTAAATGTCTATCAGGTTTGCTTGTTCCAGGTCTGAGTTCAAGCCCTGGATATCCTTGTTGATTTTCTGTCTGGTTGATCTGTCTAATATTGACAGTGGAATGTTAAAGTCTCCCACTATTATTGTGTGGGAGTCTAAGTCTCTTTGTAAGTCATTAAGAACTTGCCTTATGTATCTGGGTGTTCCTGTAGTGGGTCCATATATGTTTAGGATCATTAGCTCTTCTTGTTGTATCGATCCTTTTACCATTATATAATGGCCTTCTTTGTCTCTTTTGATCTTTGTTGCTTTAAAGTCTATTTTATCAGAGATGAGAATTGCAACTCCTGCTTTTATTTTGCTCTCCATTTGCTTGGTAAATCTTCCTCCATTCCTTTATTTTGAGCCTTTGTGTATCCTTGCATGTGAGATGGGTTTCCTGGATACAGCACACTGATGGGTTTTGGATTTTTATCCAGTTTGCCAGTCTGTGTCTTTTGATTGGTGCATTTAATCCATTTACATTTAGGGTTAATATTGTTATGTGTGAATTTGATACTGCCATTTTGATGCTAGCTGGCTGTTTTGCCCGTTAGTTGTTGTAGATTCTTCATTATGTTTGTGCTCTTTAGCATTTAGTGTGATTTTGGAATGGCTGGTACTGGTTGTTCCTTTCTATGTGTAGTGCCTCTTTCAGGAGCTCTTGTAAAGCAGGCCTGGTGGTGACAAAATCTCTGAGTACTTGCTTGTTCGCAAAGGATTTTATTTTTCCTTCACTTACGAAGCTCAGTTTGGCTGGATATGAAATTCTGGGTTGAAAGTTCTTTTCTTTAAGGATGTTGAATATTGGCCCCCACTCTCTTCTGGCTTGTAGTGTTTCTGCCGAGAGATCTGCTGTGAGTCTGATGGGCTTCCCTTTTTGGGTGACCCGACCTTTCTCTCTGGCTGCCCTTAGTATTTTCTCCTTTATTTCAACCTTGTTGAATCTGTCGATTATGTGCCTTGGGGTTGCTCTTCTTGCGGAATATCTTTGTGGTATTCTCTGTATTTCCTTCATTTGAGTGTTGGCCTGTCTTGCTAGGTGGGGGAAATTTTCCTGGATGATGTCCTGAAGAGTATTTTCCAGCTTGGATTCATTCTCTTCGTCCCCTTCTGGTACACCTATCAAACGTAGATTAGGTCTCTTCACATAGTCCCACATTTCTTGGAGACTTTGTTCATTCCTTTTTGCACTTTTTTCTCTTATCTTGGTTTCTCATTTTATTTCATTGAGTTGATCTTCAACTTCTGATATTCTTTCTTCTGCTCGGTCAATTCAGCTGTTGAAACTTGTCCATGCTTCACGAAGTTCTTCAGCTCCTTCAATTCATTCATATTCCTCTCTAAGTTATTAATTCTTGTTATCATTTCCTCGATTCTTTTTTCAAATCTTTTTTCAAGGTTCTTAGTTTCTTTGCATTGATTTAAAACATGTTCTTTTAGCTCACAAAAGTTTCTCATTATCCACCTTCTGAAGTCTAATTCCATCATTTCATCACAGTCATTCTCCGTCCAGCTTTGTTTCCTTGCTGGTGAGGAGTTTTGGTCCTTTCTAGAAGGCGAGGTGTTCTGGTTTCGGGTGTCTTCCTCCTTTTTGTGCTGGTTTCTTCCCATCTTTGTGGATTTATCCACCTGTCGTCTGAGTAGTTGCTGACTTTGCGATTGGGTCTCTGAGTGGACGCCCAGATTGTTGATGATGAAGTATTTCTGTTACTTGGTTTTCCTTCTACCAGTCTAGCCCCTCCAGTGTACGACTGCTGAGGTCCACTCCAGGCCCTGCTTGTCTGGGGTGCACCTATAGCAGCTGCGGAACAGTGAGTGATGCTACCAGTTTCTTTTTCTGCTATCTTTGTCCCAGAATGATGTCTGCCAAATATCAGTCTTTTGGATATAGAGGGGTCAGGGAGCTGCTTGAGAAGATAGTCTGTACTTTAAAGGAGCTCAAGTGCTGAGCTGTGATCTCCGTTGTTCATTCAGGGCTGTTAGGCTGCTATGTTTAATTCTGCTGCAGCAGAACTCATTAAAAAACCCCTTTTTTTCTCAGATGCTCTGTCTCGGGGGGTTGGGCCTTTCTTTGTGAGTGTCCATTGCGCTGTCCTGCCCAGCTAGGAGGCAGTCTAATCACTATTTGCCTGCCAAGGCTCCGCCCTGCTGGTGTGAGGTTCACCCTGTTGCTGCAGGCTCTGCCCTGCTGCTGCTGTCTCCGCCCTGCTGCCACGGGCTACGCCTTGCGGCAGAGTCCCTCTGTTATGGCAGGTTGCCTCAGCAATGGCAGGCTGCGTCAGCAATGGGCGTGTACCTGAGTAGGGCTGGATTGCCTCGGTAATGGCGGATGCCCCTCTCCCACCAAGCTGCACTATCCTGGGTTCAGCTGTGCCCGCAGTGAAACTCTCCACCAGGAGCGTTTGGAATTGCCATTTTGTTTGTCCCACTGCGCTACCCCAAATGCCGTTTCCCTGGAATCTCCTGGCCTGGCTCACTGTCCAAGTCCCGTTCAGTCAGATAGATATGCCAATCTGCCCTCTCAAGTCTCAGATTGCCAGTTCAACAGGGCACCCGGACCAGTGCACTTTGTGCGGAGCGCTGTGGAGTGCCGCTGCACTACAGCGCCGGCCGCCGGCTGCACCAGCCAAAGCCTCTGCCTGGCGTCCCGCATCTCTTTTATACCTGGGAATTTCCCCATTCTGTGGGCAACAAAGATCCGTCTGGAAATGCGGCCCTGACTCACCCTCCACGTGTTCACCGAGAACTTCAATCCTGGGTTGTTCTCACTGCAGCATCTTGAGTCCAAACCATAGATTAGGTCTTTTCACATAGTCCCATATTTCTTAGAGACTTTGTTCATTCCTTTTTACCCTTTTTTCTCTAATCTTGCCTTCTCATTTTATTTCGTTGAGTTGGTCTCCAACCTGTGATACCATTTCTTCTGCTTGGTCAATTTGGCTGTTGAAACTTGTGTATGCTTCGCAAAGTTCTCGTGTTGTGTTTTTCAGCTCCATCAATTCACTTATATTCCTCTCTAAGTTGTTTACTCTTGTTAGTATTTCATCAAATCTTTTTTCAGGGTTCTTAGTTTCTTTGCATTGGGTTAAAACATGTTCTTTCAGTTCAGAGAAGTTTCTTATTACCCACCTTCTGAAGCCTGATTCTGTCAATTCATCAGACTCATTCTCCATCCAGCTTTGTTCCCTTGCTGGTGTGATCCCTTGTAGGTGGAGAGGCATTCTGGTTTTGGGTGTTTTCATCCTTTTTGCACTGGTTTCTTCCCATCTTTGTGGATTTATTCACTTGTCATCTTTATAGTTGTTGACTTTCAGATTGGATCTCTGAGTGGATGTCCAGTTTGTTGATGATGAAATTATTTCTTTCTGTTTCTTAGTTTTCCTTCTAACAGTCAGGCCCCTCTGCTGTAGGACTGCTGAGGTCCACTCCAGGCCCTGCTTGCCTGGGAATCACCTGCAGCAGCTGCAGAACAGTAAGGGTTGCTGCCAGTTTCTTCTTCTGCTATCTTTGTCCCTGAAGGATACCCACCTGATGTCAGTCTGAGCTCTCCTTTATAAGGAGATTCTTTGGAAATACAGGGGTCAGGGAGCTGCTTGAGGAGATAGTCTGTCCTTTATAGGAACTCAAGTGCTGAGCTGTTAGCTGTTGTTCATTCAGAGCTGCTGGGCAGGTACGTTTAAGTCTGCTGCAGCAAAACTCATAAACCACCCCCACCCCACTTTTTTTTTTCCAGTTGCTCTGTCCTGGGAAGTTAGGGCTTTAATTATCGGTTTCTGTTGTGCTGCTGCCTTTTTTTTTCAGGGCTGTCCTGCCCAGCGAGGAGGTAGCCTAGTTGCTGTCTGCCTACAGAGGCTTTGCTGAGCTGCTGTGGTCTCCGCCCAGCTGCTGTGTGAACTTCCCTGCAGCTCTGTTTATACGGGTGTAGTTTGAACTTCTTCAGCAATGCCAACCCACCTGTATAATGGCGGACTCTCTCTGTAATGGCTGGCTGCCTCAGCAATGGTGGGCTGCCTCAGCAATGGCAGACTACCTCCATAGTGGTGGAGTGCCTCAGTAATGGTAGACGCCCCTCCCCCACAGAGCTGTACCATCCCAGGTTCAGCTGTGCTTGCTGTGAAACTCTCAATTCAGAGCGTTTTATATTGCTGTTTTCTTCTGTGGGGGTGAGACCAGCAGAGCCTGATCACCTGGCTCCCTGCCTCAGAGCCCTCTTTTTTTTTTTTTTTTTTTTTTTTTTTTTTTTTTAGTTGAATGGTAGACTGTGTCTCCCAGGTGTTCTAGTCACCTGTTGGAAAGGGGCTGGGATCTGTATGATTTCCCATGCTGAAACAGCCAGGCTGAGATTCATGGCACTTTTTTTGCCTGGAAATCTCCTGGCCTGGCTCTCTGAGTCCCCTTTGTTATCCGTTGAATGGGCGACTGTCTCCCAGGAGCTCCAGTTGCTAGCTAAAATGGCACCTGGACCCATGTATTTTGTATGGAGAAACAGCCATGCTGGAGACCCATGAGGCTCCTCCACCTGAGAATCTCCTGGTCTGTGGGCAATAAAAATCCATCTGGAAATGCGGCATCAACTCACCCTCCTTGCTTTCGCTGGGAGCTGCAATCCTGAGCTGCTCCTAATTGGCCATCTTGGATCGCTCCCCCAATATACATATTTTCAAACTGAAACGTTTTCTTTAAATTGTGAGTCCATGGTTTTGAATGGCTAGTGGTGGTGAGCAAGTCTGGTGATATTGACACAGTGTTGAGAATCATTCAGAAGATCATGACATCATTATGGAATCTGAGTATCAGGGTCAGGCTATGAGGCATTAAAGATATGAATGATAGAAATTAGAGTACGCCGAAATTTCCCAACTCCAGGAATTTGTGGCGGAGAGGGCAAATAACTGCGGCTCTCCAGGCGCCCAGATGCTCGCACCATGTCGAGGCGCAAGCAGGCGAAATCCCAGCACATCAACTCCGAGGAGGACCAGGGCGAGCAGCAGCCGCAGCAGGCGACCCCGGAGTTTGCAGATGCGGCCCCAGCGGCGCCCGCGGCGGGGGAGCCGGGTGCTCCAGTGAACCACCCAGGGAATGACGATGAGGCGGGTGAGGACGAAGCCACAGTAAAGCGGCTTCGTCGGGAGGAGACGCACATCTGCGAGAAATGCTGCGCGGAGTTCTTCAGCATCTCTGAGTTCCTGGAACATAAGAAAAATTGCACTAAACACCCACCTGTCCTCATCATGAATGACAGCGAGGGCCCGGTGCCTTCAGAAGACTTCTCTGGAGCTGTACTGAGCCAACAGTCCCCCAGTCCCAGCAGTAAGGACAGTCACAGGGAGAATGGTGGCAGCTCAGGGGACATGAAGGAGAAGCCAGGTGCGGAGTCTGTGGTGTACCTAAAGACAGAGACAGCCCTGCCACCCACCCCCCAGGACATAAGCTATTTACCCAAAGGCAAAGTGGCCAACACTAACGTGACCTTGCAGGCACTACGGGGCACCAAGGTGGCAGTGAATCAGCGGAGCGCGGATGCCCTCCCTGCCCCTGTGCCCTGTGCCAATAGCATCCCGTGGGTCCTGGAGCAGATCTTGTGTCTGCAGCAGCAGCAGCTCCAGCAGATCCAGCTTACTGAGCAGATCCGCGTCCAGGTGAACATGTGGGCCTCCCACGCCCTCCACTCGAGTGGGGCAGGGGCCGAAACGCTGAAGACCCTGAGCAGCCACGTGTCCCAGCAGGTGTCTGCAGCTGTGGCTCTGCTCAGCCAGAAAGCTGGAAGCCAAGGTCTGTCTCTGGATGCCTTGAAACAAGCCAAGCTACCTCACGCCAACATCCCTACTGCTACCAGCTCCCTGTCCCCAGGGCTGGCGCCCTTCACTCTGAAGCCGGATGGGACCCGGGTGCTCCCGAACGTCATGTCCCGCCTCCCGAGCGCTTTGCTTCCTCAGGCCCCAGGCTCGGTGCTCTTCCAGAGCCCTTTCTCCACCATGGCGCTAGACACATCCAAGAAGGGGAAGCGGAAGCCCCCAAACGTCTCCGCGGTGGAAGTCAAACCCAAGGACGAGGCGGTCCTCTACAAGCACAAGTGTCGGAGCAGTCTCCCTTCCACGTTTATCCGAGCCCAGCCGACCTATGTCAAGGTTGAAGTTCCTGGCACGTTTGTGGGACCCTCAGCCTTGTCCCCAGGGATGACCCCTTTGTTAGCAGCCCAGCCACGCCGACAGGCCAAGCAACATGGCTGCACACGGTGTGGGAAGAACTTCTCATCTGCCAGCGCTCTTCAGATCCATGAGCGGACTCACACTGGAGAGAAGCCTTTTGTGTGCAACATTTGTGGGCGAGCTTTTACCACCAAAGGCAACTTGAAGGTTCACTACATGACACACGGAGCAAACAATAACTCAGCCCGCCGTGGAAGGAAGCTGGCCATCGAGAACACCATGGCTCTGTTAGGTACGGACGGAAAAAGAGTCTCAGAAATGTTTCCCAAGGAAATCCTGGCCCCCTCTGTGAACGTGGACCCTGTTGTGTGGAACCAGTACACCAGCATGCTCAACGGTGGTCTGGCCGTGAAGACCAATGAGATCTCTGTGATCCAGAGTGGGGGCGTTCCTACCCTCCCGGTTTCCTTGGGGGCCAGCTCCGTGGTGAATAACACCACTGTCTCCAAGATGGATGGTTCCCAATCAGGTATCGGTGCAGACGTGGAAAAACCAGGTGCTACTGACAGCGTTCCCAAACACCAGTTTCCTCACTTCCTGGAAGAAAACAAGATTGCGGTCAGCTAAGCTAAAGGAGAACGTGCATGGAAGGAGAAGGGCAGACAGTGAAGTCTCTAGAATCTGCTTTGTTTCGTGAGAACTCATTTCCTCCTGTTTTCTTTTTCTCACTGATATGCAAATGATGTTTACCCTGGTTGTGACCACAACCTCAGGCAAGTCCTACAATCACGATTGTTGCTATGCTGCTTTGCAAAAAATTGAAAAAAAAAAAAAAATTCATACCAAAACAAATAGACTTTTGTTTTGTTTTTTGTTTTTTTGAGGCGGAGTTTCGCTCCATCACCCAGGCTGGAATGCAGTGGTGTGATCTCAGCTCACCACAACCTCCGCCTCCCGGGTTCAAGCCATTCTCCTTCCTCAGCTTTTGAATAGCTGGGATTATAGACACATGGTACTGTGCCCAGCTAATTTTTATATTTTGAGTAGGGATGGGGGTTTTTCATTAAATTGGCCAGGCTGGTCTTGAACTCCTGACCTCGTGGTCCACCTGCCTTGGCTTCCCAAAGTGCTGGGATTACAACCATGAGCCACTGTGCCCGGCACTTTTTTTTAATGTTGGAAAGAAGCGGGTCTTGCAAAGTAGCTTTGTTAACTTGTAACAGACGTATATGTAGAGCCTCTGTACAACCTAGAATGACTTTTTCCAAAGACTTTCAAGGTAGGACTGTTGGAACTTCCAACAGTGGAAAAGACAACTACATAGCCTGATTAAGGGAGAGGGTTCTGTATTCTTCCTCTCTCTAACTCTATACTTCCATGGGACTGTACATGCGGGTAAAAGGACAAGGTCTGTCATCTCTTTAGGGACCTGTTTTCTATGCCCCAATCCTGTTCCCATTTTTTTTTTTTTTTGAATGTACTTAAAAAAGGAACAACAAAAAACTAAGGTTGTAGAATTATAAAATTGCTTCAGCCTTAGAACCTTGAGTAGGATCCCCTCAAATGGACTTACGTCAGTCCTTAGGGAGTCAATGTACGTGTTGCTGCTTATTTAAATACAGTTCAGTCGGAGCCCTGAGAGTGCCAATATTTTCCCCACACCTCTTAGATGCCTTCCTCTTCCTGAACCCTAGAAGTGGTGGGCGCCTGAGCGGGGAATCTCAGGTGACTTAACTTACTTTGCCAGTGCCTACTCTATTGAAGAACTGGGTTTTCATTCTCGAGAAGAAACTCGTGGAAGGGCGTGTTTCCTATCACAGGTTCACATGCTGATTTTTTTGTTGGTGAATTTCCTTGGTGTGACTTCTGCCAAGTAATTATGAAGATTTTTTGTTTGTTTTCTTGCTGAATACTTCATGAAGGCTACGAAGTTAGCACAGGCAAGTCCTGGGTGAGCACAGGCAAGTCCTGGGTGTGAAAGCTTTAATTTATCTACCTCATTTATTCTTTATGTTTTGTAGCCATAGTGTATATTTCCCTATTTTAAGACCGCGTAAGTATTCCCAGGCCCTATCTAAAACTGAAGAGTTGATGTATTGGTGGGAAGAGCTGAACGTTCAAGATGATTTTTGTGATGCCTTTTTTTTAGCCTCCTATTGTATATGTGCTATTGAGCAAATGAAACATTGCTCTTGGTTTAAAAAGAAAGGAGAAAGAAAGAAGAAAACTCTTAACTTCTGGGAGAAAAAGTCTTTCCCCTCCCTCTATGTGGAAGGTCCTGACAGAAATGTGGATCCAAGACTCTTAGCCAAAGCGTTGTCTCCTCATCGTTGCACCTGACTTTAGGATCCCCCACACACACTTTTTTTTTTTTTTTTTTTTTTTTTGCCAAGTTGTGCCTTTCCTTCTGGAATTGTAAGTGAACACAATACTAGTACCTGTTTACACTGTGAAGTGGATATTGTTACAGAAAACACACCAGTGGCTGACTGTTGAGCTAATAATGCCTTGTGAATGTATGATCTACGGAGAAACCCCTGTAGTTGTACCTGCTGATGCTGTCTGTCTGTTGGAAAATAAATTTTGAATTTTTTTTTCAAAAAAAAAAAAAAAAAGAAAGAAATTAGAGTACGCCAAAACTCAACAGAGTATCGCATGAGTATTTTAGGGAAACCAATGAAACAAGTTTGTTCTCTCAAGTCTAGGGATTTACATAAAATAGGCACACACAATTTAGCCAGATGTTTAGAAGTACTGTTGAAAAGAGAACAAAAATAAATGTATCCATTCTTATTCAACTTTCTGGTGGTAAAATATACCTTAGATTTTTTTTTTTTTAAAGTTGATGTTTTAGTTCCATATCTCCTTATACAATAGGTGTACACTTATTGATAGAGTGTTTAGTAAATTCAATCTGTGCAACTTGCCGTGCATAAACTTTATACAGTTGATACAATATAAATAATTCCTCCCAATGTATCTTTCTAATAAAATACATTAATATGTTTGCTTTTCATAAAGCACATTAGATGACTAAATTTAGTGGTGGGTTCACATGAAATAGAGCTGAGCTGTACTATGGATCAGCAACGGACTGCCGTCTTACCTCACATCAAGGGCCTCCAATATTTATCTTCTCATTCAGTGTTCTTTTACCTACATTTCCTCTTCCCTTTTAGGAATGTGGACAGCAGGGGAGAGAGGCAATGATAGTGACCAGGATAAGAGACTGCTCATCCTGAGCAGTAGTTTTCCCAACTACTAGAGTGTTCACTCATTCTGATCATCATCATCATCTCATGGCCTGATCACCATTAAAGGGGAGCCACAGTCAGCATCGTTAAATCTGTAAGATTCATGGATGCATGTTAAATAGCTTAAATGTAAAGTCTCCTATAACTAATTTTAAAAAAATAACAGTGGATAACCATATTGTTTCTGGAGGTGGACCCAAATGACAAACAATCAAATGAAAAAGTGGGCAAAGGATGAAAACAGATGATTCACAGGAAATATTTCAATTCATAATAAATACAGAAAAGATGCTCAGTGTCACTGGTGGTCTGAAAAATGAAAACTAAAATATTAAAACAACAGTTTTTGATTCATCAGACTAGTATTTTTTTTTTTTTTTTTTGGAAACAGAGTCTTGTTCTGGAGTACAATGGAGTGATCTTGGCTCATTGCAACCTCTGCCTCCTGGGTTCAAGTGATTCTCTTGCCTCAGCCTCCCTGGTTGCTGGGACTACAGGCACAAGCCACCATGCTTGACTAATTTTTCTATTTTTAGTAGAGATGGGGTTTCAACATGTTGACCAGGCTGGTCTTGAACTCCTGACATCAAGTGATCCCAAAGTGCTAGATTATAGGTGTAAGCCACCATGCCTGGCCTCAGACTAGCAAAAATTTTAAAACATAAATGATACCCAGTTTGGGTGAGGGCATGGAAAAATGGGCCTTCTCATACATTATTGGCACTATAGATCAAAATTTTTAAATGTTTATAGATTTTGATAGAACAATTTAAACTTTAGAGATCTATTCAACAGAAAAATATTGACCCATATGCATGAACTGCATGTATAATCTGTACATTGAAACATTTTTAGCAATTTTATAGCCTCAAAATTATAGAGAGAAACTAATTTTTGGAAGCCTATTATGTTTCTACAACAATATGAGAAAAAACAGCACATTGAACAGATTAAATAATTAAATTTGGGTTCTCAATTTAATCAATTAATTAATTAAGTAATTTTTGAGACAGAGTCTTGTTCTTGTAGCCCAGGCTAGAGTGCAATGTCGCAATCTCGGCTCCCTGCAACCTCTGCCTCCTAGGTTCAAGTGATTCTCCTGCCTCAGCCTCCCCATTCGCTGGAATTACAGGCACCTGCCACTCTACCTAGCTAATTTTTGTATTTTTCATAGAGATGGGGTTTCACCATGTTGGTCAGGCTGGTCTCAAACTCCTAACCTCAGGAGGCCCACCTCAGGCTCCTAAAGTGCTAGGATTAGAGGCATGAGCCACCATGCCCTACCGGTTCCTACTTATAATTGAAATATACAAAGGCCACAAACTGGGTGCAGTGTATATTGCTCAGGTGATAGGTGCAATAAAATCTCACAGATCACCTGCGAGGAAGTTAGTCACATAAACAAACACCGCCTGTTCCCAATAACCTATGGAACTACAAAAATTTAATTAATTAAATAAATAAATAGAGTGACTTGCAGAAAAATATAATTGAGATATATTAGGGAGTGTCATATGCAGGAATTTTATTAAAAATGTTATCGTAATTTTCATTTATTTTTTGAGACAGAGTCTCACTCTGTCACCCAGGCTGGAGTGCAGTAGCGAGCTCACAGCCTACTGCAGCCTTGACCTCCTGGGTTCATGTGATCCTCCCACCTCAGCCTCCTGAGTAGCTGGTACTATCGGTTTAGCTGGTATGTGCCACCATGCCTGCCAACTAAAATTTTTTTCTTTTTTTTGTAGAAACAAAGTCCCACTATGTTAACCAGGCTGGATTTTTGTTTTAAAATTTCATTTTAAAAAATTGTTGCCTATTAAGCATTCATTTGCTAACTTCCAGGTGGCAAAAATATGGTGTTTAAAATTATTTCTGGGACATCTGTAAATTTTCATGTAAGTTCTATAAATGTAGTTATATTTCTTTATTCCTCAGTTGTGACTAGTAAAAATATTTGCCAATGTTGTCAATCAAACTTTCATACTAGTGAGACAAAGACATGTCCTCTTCTTTCCGAGAAGGATAGGAAGGAATTAGTCAGAAACTAAGCTATTTATTTTTAAAAGTTATATTATACACTATACAGTGTCTGGATGCTCATTTCTATCCCAGGGATATTTGGATGAAAACATAGTCCCTGTCTTCACAGTAAAGGAACACAAATAATCACCTGCTTAAATGGTATCGACAGTGTCACTCCTCAGGTATAAAGAGAATCTCATCTCATCTTTTCTTTTTTCATGTCAAAACCTACTTGTTCCCTATTTGCACAAAATAGTCACAATGCCTAGTCTCTCCTGGGGCCTCCAATCCCATCAATCCTTAAACAGGCCAGGAACGAGAAAGAGCTCCTTCAGTCCTGAAATGCCAGTTCTATTTCTATACAATTGTCTCTTGGAGAGAGGGTTGGAGGACCTGCTCAGTTCCCAGGCAAGTACCCTATTGTTGCGGTCATTGTGTCTTTCTCCAACCCATGTATCATTGTTGAACACTGGCCACTCAGCCTGGCTTGGAGCCATATTCATCAACTGTAATGAAGACACAACTGTGGCTATGCCATCTGTTCTAGCAGGGCAGAGGTTTCCAGGGTAGAGGAAATTAGGGAATGTCTCCCCAGTGTGGCTCCTGGGTTGTAGCTGCACTTGGCCCTGTGGTAAACCATTAAATACCTGCTGCTAGGCTGCGGGTAGATGGTTCATTGAGGGAACATGCTCCTCCCCACTAAGTGTTAAGGAGAGCAGAGGGTGTTTCTTACTATAATGCCTAAGAACTGTGGTGGCTCCTCATATTCCATCTTTTCTTGATTCTTTCAATGGGCCACCTCCTGCAGGCACCAGTCCATCCTCTTTCTTTTTGACTCAGATCCTCACTGATTTCCTGTCATACGATGATTGGCATTTTCTCCCCTAGGGAACTACAGGAGGAGGTTACATATTTAGCAGGGAAAAGGAATAGGAAGTAGAGGCCTGCAGCTCAGCCATCATTTCTGGGCTGAACAACCCATCCCAGCCCACATGGGAGGAACTGCCTTTGGGTAGAGGCTGCTACTGAGGGTGTCACACAGCCTGTACAAGAGTGTAGGGTCTGAAGAATTGTGGTCTGAAAGCTTTGAAAAGTGTCAGAGACTTGAATTTATACTTGGTGCGCATTTTTCCTTTGTCAAGGGAACCACTCTTAGTTCAGTTAAAGACTGATTTTCTAGTTCAAGGACACTCTTAAACTGAGACCACAGGCACACTTAATTTTTACCAATTAAGCAAATTCAGGTTTTATTGCTATTCCTGCCACCCTTAAGCCTGAGGGGGAGGACAAAGAGGCCTACATGTGCTTGTGTGTATGTGTGTGTGTTTGCTGTGAGGCTACAATTAGGCACTGGGTCTGGTTATCTGGACTGGGAAGTAAAGAAAGAGCCTCCAGGCCTATCAGTAAAGACAAAGATCAGAGTGCATATTCTAATATGTCAGGCGGTCTCAGGGAGAAGTCCAGAAGGGATTTTAGATGGTTACCTGTGTGTCACTGACACAAAATTGAAACTAGTGCTGTGTATCTCAATTGCAGTATACCTTTGATAACCTCGGGCTTATACATTTTAGCTAATTTGTCAGACAATTTGATCACAAAAGGGAGAAGACCTCACAGTTGCC